AAATTCCCTTGACAACTTGTGCCAGTGTCGTACCACACTCACAATAAAGAATTTCTTACTGATACCTAATCTAAACCTGCTCTCAAGGTGAAGCCATTCCCCCTTGTCCTGTCACTCCAGGCTCTTGCAAGAAGCCCCTGTCCATTTTTCTTGTGGGATCCCTTCAAGTACTGGAAGGTCACAATTAGGTCACCTTGAAGAATTCTCTTTTGCAGGTGGAACAATCCCAATTCTCTCAGCCTTCCCTTGTAAGAGAGGTGCTCCATCCCTCTGATCATCTTGGTGGCCTCCTCCAGAGTGACTCCAACAGGGCCATGTCCTTCCTGTGTTGGGACCCCCAGAGCTGGATGCAGCACTCCAGGTGAGGTCTCACCAGAACACAGAGACAGAAGCCTCTCCCTCTCTCTGCTGCCCTCGGTGCTTTGGATGCAGCCCAGGACATGGCTGTGTGTGCACATGGCCAGGTCATGTCCAGCTTCTCACCCACCTGCACCCCCAAATCCCTCTTGATCTGTTCATCCTCCAGCCTGGGTTGTTGACGGTGTGGCCCCAACCCAGATGCAGCACCTTGGCTTTGTTAAACCACAGGAGATTCCTGTGGGCCACTTCTCAAGTTCCTCCAGGTCCTTCAGGTGTGGCCACTGCACCACTCAGCTTGGTGTCACCTGTAAACTTGCTGAGGCTGCCCCCAATCCCTTTGTCTATGTCATTAATGAAGACATTAAATGACACTGGTCTCAGTGAGGACCCTGGAGGACACCACTTGTCACTGATGTCCTGGTTCCTTCTCAGAGGTCACAACACCTGAGAGGTAAATGCTGTACGCTGAGTTCTGAAGGGTAGCTCTGTGAGATTGCCCAAGCCCCAGTGCAGGAGCTCATTAAAAGCTGAAAGGAGAAGGACAGGCAGTGATTACAGGGTACAGTAGGCAGGATGCAGAACGTACAAGCTCTGAACAAGGCAAACTCCAGCCAGAACACTTCAGGCGTGTAAGACAAAGGGGAAAAACAAAGTGTGTTGGTGGTTAGTGTATAATAATGTGAGTCATCCACAGTGAGCAGAGCTTAAAAACTTGGCTGCTTTTACATAATCTGAGGGTGAGGAACGATAGTTGGAGTCTGAACATGGAAATTAAAACCTAAGATATCCGAACAAAGCCCTGTCTTTGTGTAGTTAATAATATTGTAGTGGGCATATGACAAATGTTAATTGAAGGTTTTTTGTTTAGTTGACGATGTTTCTCTAGCTGTTTTTTCTTTTACCAGAACAAAACAGAAAGAACAATTCTGTGCAGGCTGTAGTCTTCAAATGTCTAAATCCATGTAACAACTATCATATAATTAGCCAACCAACATCCCACATGCAGCTGTGGGCACTGACTCCCTGTCAATGAACCTCTGTCCTGACACAAAGGCAGTGCCTTTGCCTCGCTTTTGACTTCATTCATCACCGCAGTTTTGCATATTTATGTAGCAGAGAGTTCAGTGAGTTCATACTTGGTATTCAAAAGGGTGATTTAATCTAAACTTCATTATGAGAAAATACTGTTTGTTGGTTACACTGCTGAAAAAGTTACTTCTTTGGTGATGACAGTAGGTTTGTGAGGTTGGCATGAGCATCATTACTGAGGCAAGCTCTTCTATCTAGGTGTGGTTAAAATTCTTGATATTCTAATCTTTCTATATTTGCATTTATACATTTATTTATACTATGTCTAGACCTTTAAAGATACTGATTAGAAGTGCTGCTTCCATTTTTATTTTATTATTTTTTTTAACATTAGCTGTGATATAAAAAGTAGGCACTATGGACCAGGTTTCCTTGAGGGTAAAATTATTGACTATAATGCCTTTTTAAAGGAGTGTCATCTGAGGGGGTGGCCTCTGCCTTATAATAGTATTCCAAATCAGGATAAACTTAAGACTAAAGACTAAATGGGTGAAATAAACATGAAATATCATGATAAACCACCAAACAAGAGGAACATTGTCTTTTAAATGCATTTATGTCTTGATGGAAATATTGCTTGCATAAAAAGGAACACTAGGTACATTTCTATCACAAATCCTTACATAACATCAGTCCTTTGCAAAAAGTCACCTCCAAGGTGTGTGTTCAGGCAAGCATGTCCATGGTTGATTTAAGATTAAGTGATTTTCACTTGTTTGGTGACTTTAGATTCGGTCATTCCCACATAGGATAAAAAGGAACTTCCCTTGAGGATTGCACTGTGAACTCTCTTCCTCTTACATCCTTCCTCTTATAACACTTAATTCCAGCATTTTTCCTCTAAAGCAGGCAACCCTCCCAGTTACTCTTGTCATGTGTGCCTGAGGAAGATGCTTCTGGAATTCATATGTTAGTTTGTATGGTTAATCATGAAACCCCACAAAGGTGGCACTCCAGCTTACTTCAAGTTTTAGATTTCATGGTGTTGCAGTGGGGGAGACATGCAGTGACACTGCAGGCACTCAGCTTGGAATGAGTAGTTACAGGAAGGAGCTCTGCAGCTTCCTCATTTTCCAAAGTCTCCTCACTTGTCGGGCAGAGGGACTGTTCCCACCTAGGAGAGCTGGCTGCAGCCTCGATGTCTGATGAGATGGTCAAGGTCTAAATCAGATCAGAAATCCTTGGCACTGCCCCTTGCTTTCCCATCCCTACCATGGCAATAACTATAAACAGCAGAGCTGTGGCTACCAGGAATAGACTCAGTATCACACACTGGTTATGTCTGTACATCCTCATGTCCCTTCAGCTCAGGAGCACAAGGGCCAAGAGATTTACAGCTCTTCTGCTCATATGGAAAACCCTTTCTTCCAGAGCTTTTCATATAGGATGATTCTGCCCAATTCACACTGCTTTAAAAAGAAAAAAATAAAAAAGATGCAATTAAGACATCTGTAGCTTATTCAAGGGCAACATTATGAGTACATGAAAGAGGTCAGTGGAGGTGCCCAAGTACTGCCAGTGCCTCTTCCATGCTACCATCCTGAAAACATGGAAATATGGAGCTAGCCTACCTATGATTGTTTCCCCCCCATGATTCTGTTGAGATATATATTCAGAGAGCTGTCTTAGGTTTGAGCAGGATAATGGGAAAAGCTTTCTAATGTAAATCTCCCCATACAACCAGAAAGACCAATGCAGAGGGAAAGCATCAGAGAGAGAACGTGCACATGTGCTAGTGCATAATGTGGGGTGGGAGCATGGCTTACAGGTTGTTTCATGATTAGAACTGTAAACATTGCTGCTTTTCAGGGAAAATCTTAAGATTCCCATGACAGTGATTACATCAGTGCTCTTAAATGCAGCTCATTGTACCTAGGTGGGAAAATTTGCTGTCAGACATGGTTTCAGATAGCCAAGCTGAACTTTAAGTTAAAAATGTGCAGAATATGGGAACTTTGCCTGGAGCAATACTTTAGAAACTGCTGAAGCTAGGTTATGCTGAAAAATGTATTTATGTAAAGTCAAACCCTTCAGCTTTTACTCATAAAAGGACACACTTGTAATAATGAGATCAGGCCACTTGCATGCAAACTCAAAGGACTAATTAAGTGCTAAGTTGTTCTAGCTATACACTAATGTAACTCTTGCTATCATTGCACTGCAGGATTGGACCTTACACAGCAGCTTCAAATATGCCACTGTAAATGTTACTGTTTTTACAGGTACTACGAACAGATCAAATCAAGTACTCAGCAGACTTAACCTTGTTGATGATCTGAGCTGGATGCTGCCAGCTTCACTTGCTTATTCAGGCATATTTTGGGATGTTGCTTGTGCAGAGTGCTGAAGAAGTTCAGAACACATTGGGTAGCAATATCCTTGGTTCAGGATCGTGCACTGTGCCCACTCTGCTCAGATTAATGCCTGTAATGGTGCTGAAGTTAGTAGTTGTTGCTTTTGGTTGCCCTTGGAGGGAGCAGGGGAAAATAGTACCTCCAGAGGCTGCTGAGATCCCAGTTTGTCTGGACTGGCCTTGGGAGTTGCCCATTTCTGTCCTCTGACTATAGCAAAAGCTTCTGCTTTCTTTATTTAGGGGGAAGGAAGGATAGATTCAAGCTGTGAGGTCAGAGGGCAGCTAGATGTTTCTACCCTGTTATCATACAGAATGGTTTGTTGGTGCAGCACCCACCCAGGTTTCAGTGTTTGTCCAGGTTTGTTTGGGAATTGCCTCACCAAGTCAAGTGCTCGTGACATTTGTAAAGATGAGGTTGGTGCCTTCACATCTGTTGCAGAGGCTGGAAACTGTGATTGCAGAAAGATCTCAGGGCAGACAGGCATTAACCTCTAGGGTGTTACTGGTTAATAATGTCCCACATCCGGCAAGAGAGAGAAAACATCAGGAATAAAATCCAGCAACCCTGTCAGAGAAAACAGAAGAAACCAATACAAAACATTTCAAGATGAATGGTTTTGTGTCCTGTCTAAGAAGCCAGAAAGTCTATGCATCCCATCTGAGAAGCTATTGGTCTTCTCATCAGCCAGCCTGGGCATCTATTCAAATGTATACACATCTGATTTTCTCACATGCACTGGAGGAATCTCAGCTGGAAAAATCAGCCAGACAACTCCCCCTGTGTCTGAATCAGCAGCACAAGGATTTGTGGTTATCAAAGAAAACTTGCCCTTAATTTTTAACATTTAAGAATCTGCTGGCTTTGCTATTCTGTGGTTAGCTGATTGTCTGTGTTTGCATGCAGAAATCTTTGTTCTTGTGCTGTGTCTCGGGAATGCCATGAGCAGTTGTTTTTGTTTGTTCGTACTCGGGTGGAGCTAACTGTCTAATTGGGTAAATATTTGCAATGCTATACTTGCATGCACACAAGACAAAGAGGGCTGGACTCCTGTTGACATAAAGGGCCTTTTACACCAGGCCAGCAATGTAAAGGCTTAAATAAAATTGGTAATTATGAGGCCACTTCTTATGGTCAGACCATATAAAGTGGATTTAATTTAACTGTCATGGCCATATTTACTTCTCATTACAGATGGACTATTTTCCAATATGATTACAACAATGAAGAGGTTTCTCACTCTGCCTTACTCACTGATTGCAAGTTCAAAACTTCTGGACTTCCACTGGGTCTTAGCTCTGTTAAAAAAATGGTATTTATTTACCAGAGTGCCTTTGGATATAAGAGGTGAGTTTTCCACAGATTGCCCAAGTAAACATTAATAGATCCAGATACTTAAAGGTGTTTTGAAAATTGCAGGCTTGTGGTGCTCATGGAAGGTGTGTTTGTGTATGTAAAATAAATACCTTGCATGCACCTTATGGGGTGACTATTGCATATGTTATCATTAGCTCCAAAGTACACCATAAATATCCATACACGTATGAACAGATTCTAAAGATTTATCATTGAAGAGGCTGTTAATAGGTAATTGAGCCTTTCTTTGAACAAAGGTCACTAAAAATGAGGTGTTGTGTAGACCTAGTTCAGCTTCTGTTTATCTGTAGCTGTCACAGCTTGGACCTTACTGGTAATGGGTTTACCCTGGCTAGTCTTGAAAGACTTGCACAGTTTCATAGAGCCATTGCCTCACACACACCTGAACACAACAGTTGTCTGTCTGTAGGACTAAGAAAAAGCTTTAGTATATGAGGGTTTTATTTTATTAACAGTTATTTGTCTTGTTTGAAATTCTCACTGTATTTTTTCAAGGTTCAACTATTTACTCTTGTCTTCAGAAAACAAAGAAGGATAATTTAGAGTTTCACCTCCATAAGGTCAATCTCTGATGCTCTTGCACCACCTGGTACCTTGCTTAGTCATTAGTTCCACTGGGTTCACTGATACCAGCTGTGGTGCAAAAGCCTTTGATTACCACAGGGCAGCCATCCACTCCTCCCTGTCCTGTACTGCAAGTCACACATTTTTGTCTGCTTTTATGACATGATTATTGAAGCTCAGGTTGCCTCTGAGCAAGCATTCATTGACCAGGTAGTCAGGCCTATCTCTGCTCCTGCAGAGTTCATCCCACTGCCAGCCCCTGCCTCGTGCTCATGGATCTCCTGGTGCCATCATGCTGGGAAGAGGGAGGCCGTGACAAGGCAGCAGAGGTTTTGGCTGCAAAACTCACAGGTTTTGGCTGCATCCATTCTCTTGTCTAATCCACTTCTCATCCATCCCTGCGAACAGTGTGGTGAGTGAGGAAAAGCAGCTGTAGGGGTGTGGAGCCTGCTGAGGTCAGTTGTGCCTCTGCCTGTTTTGCTGTCCCTGCGTGGAAAGCGTGTGGAAAGCAGCTCACCACCCAGCCATTCCACCAGGGATGTGCTCAGTGGTTTCCTATGAGCTCACTCACCCTGTTTTTTTTGTCAACTGATGGCAAAATTACTATAATTTTTCATGGTTTTGGCATCTTTTCAAGCGCTGTTGTGGATTCTTGTAAGCTTATGTTGAGTATTTCCCTCAGTCATGCATAACTGGAATTCATAAAAATAGCACAAATGATTCTGTGTTTTTACATGCTGTCTTCATTCTGAAAACATCTTGAACTTTATTTCACAGTGACCTTTATTCAGCTGAATTTTTTTTAAAAAATTGTTCAGTGGTTTGAAATGTATGGGACAAGTAGGAAAGTGAATACTTATCAAGATAGCAAGGCTGAATAAATCTCCTTTCATTAAGAAAACAGGCTAAAATCTTCCTCAGCTTGATACTGGTGAGCAAACTAAATATATACAAAGAGTCTTCCTTGTGATGTTGTGATTACCAGTCCTATTTTTCTGCAGTGTTTTTCCTGTTCCTTGTTGTAAACAAACTGTAATCATAATACCATGACACCCTGTCCTGATCTTCTGTCAGCTGCCTGTGGAAATTACTTCCTCCTTCGAGTCTTGCCTTTTCTCTGTGTCCTGGATTTAGTGAAACTGGTGATCTCTGTGTGACTGTCCCAGGACATTTCTCACTCTCCATCAGACCTTTTTTCACACCAATACCATGTTTTCTGAATACTTCCATCTGGTTTTGCTTGAAGTTTGGACAAAGCTTTCCAGTCTGGATTATATATGTATTTCCTTGACTGTACTGTAAATGCTTATCTGAGCTGGACAGGAAGAACTTGTTCTGTTGTTTGGTCCTGGGATATTACTGAAGACTCATTTAAGTAGCAGAGAAGCTTTCATGAGGCTGGGGAAGGAATGTGTCATTTTGTGTTTCTGCTCACCTGCCTGGATCTGCCAAAGCCAAGTGCTGTCCATTCACAAGAGAAATTCTGTCATGAATGTCTGGTGTTAGGACTGGCAGTGAGTCAGAAATGCCCAACTGCCCAATGACTTTCCCCACAAGAAGAAGGTAAATTTGCACTTGAAATCTTCAATCACGTGTTAAGTCCCCAACTTTATTTGCTCAGAGGGGCCATTAACATTTAGCTTTGTATTAGGAAATACCCTTTACCAATAAATTTCGATGGGAAAAGCAAAGACTTGGGTTTGTTCCAAAAGATTCATTCATGAAAAATTCTGCTGAATGAAAAAGGAAATCTACAATTTTTTAAAATAATTCCTCTATCTGGTATAAATGTTTTAGTCTAGGCTAACTGTGCATTTTACAGATAGTTCAACTCAATTTTAATTCAACTGATGTAACACTATAATAAATAATGTAAGAATTAGTGGCATGTCTTTAATGTTCCTGCCTGCATAACGTATGTGGATTCTCTGCAGAAATAAAGCCTGCTGTTATTTCATGTTGAAGGTGAAGTGTGTCCATCAATGTCTTTCCCAGGGGAATAGAGAGAACAAGGCTTGGGAGAAGGTGGTTTGGCACACTCCTCGTGAGGAGCAAACCTGCAGCTTGTCTCTAACTCTTCCCAAGCAGTGGAGCGTGTCATTGCTTTTGCAATAAACCATTCCTCAGGAACAGATATGGACTGGCTGAAAAATAATTAAAAACTTAATTTCCTGTAATACTGTCCATCAAACAACTTTACTCAATCTTTTTGAAAGGCTGCTCTGCAGCATGGAAAAAAGACTGGCAGTAGTGCAAGAGCAGGGAATATATATGACCAGTGGAAGAAGCATGGTTGGCCTTTTGCCCTAGAGAAATGGCTGGATGAGTGGATCTTCTGCTTTAACCAAGCATTAATAAAATAATTTGGATTTGGGCTTGAGCTGATGATGTTTGCCAAAGCGGCTACAAAGGCTTTTTTTACTGCCCAGACTGATACTCACCTGCATGGATGTGCTTAGGGTCTGTTGTGTGCAAACCCACAGCTGCAGACTTGATCAGTCCTCTCTTTTGGGAAAACCCAATTTTTTACTGAGGTATAAAATTTGTTGAATAGTTCTTTTACAAAGATTTGGCCCCAGTAGCCAAAACCCTGTGTGATTTGTCTCCTGCAGTTTTACAGTTTGTGGTGTAGTACCTCAAGAAAGGCAAACAAAGCTTTAACCTTCTCTGGACAGCTCTTAGGGACAGATCCACTGACTCAACTGCTCAAGAGAACAACCCCCAAAACTGGGTATTTTATTCCAAACTAACACACATAAAACTTCTCTTCTTCCTAGGTCCAAAGTTCCAAGGAGTAGATTTTCAACATATAACTACAGACCAAGAGCAAATACAACAAACCCTAATATCAGTATCAGTGTCACTAGTGACCTAGTCTGCTGGTAAGTACAATGGTTTTTTCCCCCAAACTGCCTGAGCCATAGTTTTTCCAAACTTACTTCCTATTTCCTTTCCTCATTTACTCCATCTGATAATGCCACCAGACATTATTACATCTCATGAGAAGACTGAGAGGGGGAGGATTCAGAGCTGGTGTAAATTCACTTTTCTCTGCTTACCCATTAATCTGTGTCAAGTTATACTGGATATGCTATTCTGAGAGACAGCTCAGCCTTCTTTATCTGTCATAGTAGCACTGCTTTGCTTTTCAAATCAGCAAACAAGAAGCCATGTCCTAAACAGGCCACTTCATTATCTTTTGTGTTGGTTATTTTTGTGTTTGCTTATTTTTTTCCCTAACAAAAATATAAATAATTCTTTATCACTGATAATAATTAAAAGATGTGCTTTTCCTTGTAGATCATAAACTGAATGGAGAGCCTGCAGTCATTTGTCTGTTGCTTCAATGGGGAAATCAATTCTCAGTTATCTACGCATGGCTTGTCTGGCTGAGGATTAACCAGGCTGGGGATGCACTGACCTCAGTTCATTCACCACCTGCAAGGCTGACTTTGGACCAGCAGTCTGTATTGATCCCAGCAGTGCTGCGTGCACATCTGTCAGTTCCACAGCTGCCTCCAGCTCATCAGCATATTATCTGTGTCACTCAGAGCTGTGTGGAGGCCTCTCCACAGCCCCTGCCAGGTGGGGTCAGCTGCCCTGGCCAGCTCCTGCAGCAGCAGATACAACACCTCTTCCCGCACTAACTCGGCATAAACTGACTTTGTTTATGCTCTGGGATTGATGCTGGCATCCCCTCAGCTGTCAGAAGCTGAGGAAACAATCTTTGCTCCTTAGACCACCAGCAAAGGAGAGATTTCCAACTTTAAATGAACTAGTTTGTTACAAGTTAAATTTAATTAATATGGAAGTGGGGGAGATTGATGAACTGTGTTGTAGGCGCGGTAGCTCTTCCCAAAACCTGGTCATGGGTACAGCAAGATCTTGTTCCATGTGCTTCCCAGCAAAGTGGTTTTCCTTTTCACCTTCAGCAGCAGGAATGGACTGCTTGAACTTGTATTTACTTTAAATAATTAGAATGCGGTGAGTTTAGGTCTTAATGCAGGTCATCAGTTAAATTTTAAATGTTTAGGTGCTTAAATAATAGACTCTGTGTTAAAGTGATATAAACAAAAAGGATCTAATCTGTTTTGTTTAATTGGAAAAAAAATTGCAGATTTGTATTTGCCTTGTTATCTCTATCTTTTATTATTCCAAAGAGGCTCGGAATAGAGATGTTATCTCAGCTTTAGCTGTGCTCTTGCAATGTTGCAATTCGTCAAACCAGTAATTTATGTTTCAGTTGAAAGGAGGTGAGAAATAATTAACTCGTGTATTGCATCCTTGTCTTTGCAGGCCTTTCATTTTCAGTGAGTACTTGCACTAGCAGTTTTTATTTTTTAAATTTCAGACTCTTCAAAACTCCTGGGCTTCCTCAGGAAGGCCAGGACTCTCAGCAGTCCACGTGAGTGCTTGATGCCTTGCAGAATTAAGTCCCAGGAGCCCAGTCCTGAACTGAAATCATTGGTCATGTTCACATTGCCTTCAGTCTAGCAATTGGAATCCTGGGGTAGCAGGATTATTTGTCCTATTGAATTACTGGCCCTGGTTCTCAGGATATTTCCTCACTCTGCTACTGACATCCACAAGTTGTTTACTTGCCCGTGTGTGCTTCTGGCAGCCTGTATTCCTGGATGACCTATTTTTGCAGGAATCAAATGCCCGTGGCAGCAGTGTTTTATTGGCCCTTGCTGGGCTGACACCACTGCAGTGAGAGTGCTCATGGTCAGTGACACTGCAAGTCCTGGCTGAGCAAACTGATTCCTGCCAGCTTTGCAGCAGCTTTTATGTCAATCCCTTACTAGCAGGAGAGGATGGCCTCATAAAGCCGTGTTTTCCATTGACAGAACCAGCTCCAAGGCTAACTAGTGAGCACGGTGTGGTGACAGGAATGAGGAGTTTCTGTGCAGAGCACACTCGTGAAGGAACCCTCCTCTTGTCCTACTGACCTGGTACTGAATCACGTATAACTCATGGTTTCCTCTGTAGTTTCATCTTCCTCAGCTAAAAATTTTAAGGGTGTGACAGATCAGCAGAGGTCAGGTGAGACTGGATGGATGGAAGGGGAGGAGTTGCTCTCATTTAGATTTTTTTTTTCCGTAACAAAGTTGGTCACACCTCTAATAGCCAGACTCAGCTGTGTTTTCAGGTAATCTTAATAACAGGCTGCTAGGGTGCTTAGTTTGTTCAATCCATTCAGTAATTAGAGCTGGTGCTGAAGTCGTAAAACTGAGTATGGAGTGAGATCTTAATGAACACAGTAATTTGCCTGTAAGTACAGCCCTGTAGAGCTTCCTCATAAATGGCTTCTCCTTGGATGGAGCAGTGCAGTCACCAAACAGGGCAAGTCCATGTGGCAGCTGAGGACAAAAGCTGAGCGTTTAAGTGACCATCAGTAGGATCAGTCCAGCAGTGCAGGCCAAGGAAATGAAAGCTAGCAACACTCCAGGTGGATTAGTTATTTTTCAAAGTCTCAAAGTGCTGAGAACTTTGTGTTTTTATTCAGTGTTCAGGCTGATACTTCCAGCAATATACACATGCTGAGGCAATGTTTTTAATGACTCAGGGGAAGAAGCTGTCTACTGAATCACCAGTATCCAAACCTGAAGAACCCAACAGCTTTCTGTAAATCTGAATATAATTAAGCATCGTCTTGTTCTTTTCATTAGGCATGAAATAACCAGAGATTATGAGACTCCATTTACATAACAGTAAAAAAAAATAAAAAATTACTTGTTTTAGTTTTCTACCTCAGAATCTGGAACCTACAATCTATTGCAGTGTGTTGTTTATGAGGACTGAGAAAAGGATAAAACAGCTAGAAGAAACATACATCCTAAATATGAAAACAACATTTCCGCTCATGAAATTCCTAAACCAGATGTTGTTAGAAGCTGGGAGAATATTCTAGAGGGCAAACCATGCAATCTTGTGTGGTTCTTAACCCACTGCAGTAGCAGGAACTTCGATTTGATTTGATTTGATCTAGGGTGGCTGTCGTCAGCACTCACCATGTGCTCTGAACACCACAAGCAGTTGCATCAGATTAGAACAGACAGTGGCTGTCCCAGACTGTCCCAAAAATATGTAAGTAAAAAAAACAGCACCAGGTAAACATTGCATGAGGACATGATTAATGCCAGAAGAACAAAAGGTGGAAGTTCAAGGAAAGGCAAAAATTATTAGTAACAGAAAAGATGTATTTCTCAAGATCTAGAATGTAGTAAGAAAGATCTCCAGGGATAAATACCATTTAGTTTCAAAACCAGACTAACTAGAAGGCTAGAAAAAGCTGTAAAAGAAATGTTTTCACATTTTCATCTGTTGACCTGCTAACCTTTTCTTTAAAACATTTGTTACAAGAAGTGTTCTGCAAATAATCTTTTTTTACTTTTTTTTTTTTTTTTGTTAGAGCAGAAGTTATTCTGATGCCGACTTCTCTGTTTTCCAAACAGAGATGTGCCACAACATCAGCAGAGTCATAAGGATTACCCAATACTTGCCTGCTGAAATGTTTACAGCAACTGCTTGCAAAGAGGAAACATTTTTTTTTGGCTATGTAGGTGATTTTCATCACATCTTCCAGACTGAGGTGTAGAACAGCTGTAGAGATCCAGAAAGAAGGACCCTGAGGCCTTCAGCTTAAGATCCAGTTCTGTGTTTATGCCTGTGTTAATCTGGAATAGATCCTGTTACACTGATCTGAACTCAAACAAGATTACATGAAATTTAAGTATTGGTCATACTGGAGAGTTGTGCTGCATTTTCTGCTACACTAAGTGACTATTACTGTCTTAATTTTGGGACAAACAGGACACTTTCCATGAATGAAGGATAAAAATAGGAAGTAGATGCAGAACTTTTCACCTCCAGTTTCTACAGCTCACTTAGGAAGGTGCTCCCCTGACCAGCCAGTGGTAAGTGCTGTCCACATTGAAGGGGCAGATTTTGCCACCACAGCAGCATCAAGCTGACTTCCCTCTCATTGTTTTGTGATTCCCTCCAGAAGAAGACAAAAGGAGCAATCCAGGGAAGCTTTCCCTCTATCAGGTGTGTGTGCTATGTACACCAGACAGACATACCCAAGGTAAACACGCTGCTAGAGTGCTGCAGACACTGCAGGTGCTGAGTCCAGTTGTAAATGCACACACACAAAATCAGGAAGATCACAGCTGAACTCTGCTGAAATGCTAATGCAAAACAGGCCTCATGTTAATTGTTTTGTTGGAGTGATTACATAGCCTGGAAGAGCAGAGAAAGGCCACAAGCTTTATAGCTATGGCAAATAACTATATAGTTTATAGTTACATGCAAAACAAGCTGGAAACAAACAGTGGAAAGGGAAGACTTTGCTGCCATGGGTATCTTCAACTGCAAGCAAAGCTCACTCGATGGCTCTGGTGCTATCATCATTCTGATTTGTCTTTGAATAATGCATGTGGAACCTCAGGAACCCTGGCACACTGTTTTATACCTATTTCATAACTGCCTGGAGTTTCTTTTTAAGTAATCTGGCTGTGAGAGTTACAAAGCTGTCCTGCTTCTCTTAATATTTCAGAGGAGAAAAAAATGTGGTGTTTTCCCATTCTCTACTGCAAAAGTGGTAGAGATTTACATCTTGCAACCAAGTGGGTATTGTCACTGGGTGTGATAATTAATAGTTTCCATTGATAAACTACAACAGCTTCTCTCCTAAATGGCCTGAGTGCCTTTCCTACTCTTTTCCTCTCCCCTGAGGCACAGCAGCCTTCTCTGGCAGGTTTGGGTCTGGGACTTTGCTGTCTTTTGGCTGCTGCAGCACAAGACATTGTTATGGGTCTGTTCATGATCCTTCTCTCCTCCTGAGGCTCAGGGGTTTCTTCTCTGGTGCCATTCTCTCCTCTTTTATTCTCCCACCCATCCTGGAATTAGGGACTCCCTTAGCCTCCCATCCCCATCCCACTCATCTGGTGCAGCCACTGGCCCTACAGACATTTTGTTCTGAACTAGCACTTTTGTGGGAAGACAAGATACTCTGCCTGCCTGGGAAAGGAATTGAGGCAGAGTGTGGCTGCTTTCCAGCCTCTCCATGGCCACAGTGGTTTGTTTCCAGCCTCCCTCCTCTCCGTGGCCACAGTGGTGGAGCCATGTGGCAGAGGCCACCAGGAGTGGGCAGACAGGGCAGTCCAGTGCAGGGAGGTGATGCAAGGTGCTGCAGGAAGGTCACAAGGCTGATGTTGCTGGTCTGGTGGCCCTGTGGCAATATAAAGTTCATACATAATTCATAAATGTCATACATTGGCACTGTTTGTGCAATTTGCTCTTATGGCTGGGATGGTGTAGGAAGTCTGCATGTAGCCTCTTGTTACACAGAAAACCTGTTGGTATTTCCTATCATCACTGGTGAAGGCATAAAAAATAGGGAAAATACAGTTTAAGTATAGAGAAAGAAAGCAGTGAGTGACTGAACCATTTCCCACCACCCCCAAATATTTTAGGGGCATCTGAGTCCTGGTCAGGACTGTGAGCACACAAGACTCTGCCCCAAGGTGCTGGAGCTCTTGGGGCTTTTGCCTTGAACTGCTGGTACAGGTGGCAATGTGTGGGTGGGAGAAGGGATGCCAGTGTTTATTTTTTTTTCCCAGCACTGAAAACCAGATGGTTGGGCTGATTGCTTCACCTTTTCAGCCTGCAGGGACTCATTGCTGCACCAACACAGCCCCACATTTCACTCAGGTGGCTGCACCCCTACAGTCACTCAGCTCTGCATAGATTATTCTGCTAACTAACAAATTCCAACCTTTTAGCTGCTCCTTGGCACATCATTTTTCATTTCAGTCTGCAAGTAAGGATGACTGAAAAAATTATATTCTCTTTGCTATTTCTTTATGCTGTTGCTGGAATTAATTGTTGACCAAGTTTCTCGTGGGGAATGTAATGAAAATACAGTATGATAGTAATATATTTCTGGCATGATTCATGGTTACCAGTGGAAATATTTAATGATCTTTTTGTATACATATAGTAATTGCTTCTTCTGTAAGGCAATAATAAGTTGCAACACAATTACACTCTTGTTCTTCTGCATATAAGAAATGGGCACATGAGTGGAACAGAATCAGAAAAGCAGAAAGTCCCTGGTATCTTTTCAATATTCATCTACTCACCTGAGATTCTGCAGTCTTTTGAATTACACTAGACTTTTATAATCAGACTGATTGTGCAGCCTTAAGATAAACAATTCATAAGATAGCTAAAGTTAATTTTCATTACAAAACTAGGCATTAAAGAGTTATTCCTAAGACATCCCCTAAAGGTAAAAACTCTGAGGAATGCAATATGTTGCAGATAAATCCTCCTAATATT